CCCGTCGATCGACTTACCGAAGTCAGTTCTCCCCGTTTTTCAGAAGTTTGAGACCGAACGTCGTAGCAAGGTGCCGCACTTAAAAGTCACTACCGAACGACGTCGGAACGTTTTGTAGGCAGGCTTTTTAAGTAAAAAAGAAAGGGACGCGCACGTAGAATGTGGGTCAAGTCAGTGTAATTTAATAACGTCTGGTCTAAAAGGTTTCGCAACGGCTTTGACGGCTGTCGTCAACGTTAAATTCCGAGCGTTCAATGCCAATCTCATTGATGGTTATTACTATCACGAAACAATGAAAACTCATAAATTTAGATTCCCATATATCAGCTAAAATTATATTAATTACGGTATCTCAGCAAAATTCCAAAAGTTTATCTCACTATTGTATTTATCATGCGAATTTCAATCGACAGTTCCCCGATATTGAATTTAATTAAAACGATCTATTATATATGAAATAAAGCAAAATTTTAATAGTGTACATGTTTATAAGCTTTTACGGCCTACGCATAAAATTGTGTACCATTTATAGCATTATTAATGCAATATATTCTCTAGTCTCTCTTATCCTACCGTCCAATAAACATTAATTACTGTGCAATTAATTATTGTGGGATAAAGTTGATCGCTATTCGTTATTAATAAATAATTAATAGATGTGTTGTAGATTCTTACGGCGTAAATATTGCGACAGTAAACATGCAAGAAGAATTGCGTAAGATTTTATGCATTATCGGGCATCAACGAGCTGTCAGTAATTAATCCATCAAGCGGAATAATGATACACAAGGCGAATATCAAATTCATCGAGCAATGTTCGTGTTGAACAATATTCAAGCTTAATTAGCGTACATTTACATGGTCACTATTTAGCATTTCAATGATGCAATCTCGTATGTAGCTGCAATAACATATGCATCTAGAAAGCGTCAAAATCTCAAGAAATTTAGACTAAATCTTAGAAAATTGAGATAACGTTATGTAACAATTATTTACTACACAATCATAATTTACTACATAATTTTAAATATTTTTAATATATTTTTAATATATTTTTAATATTTTAAACATATTTTTATAAATATTTTTAATATATTTTTAATATTTGCTGTTTTTTTTAAATTTAACTTTCAAAAGAATTAAAACTAATATTTTTAATTAATTTTGAATGTATAAAAGCTTTAGCGAAATTTCGGTCATCATGATAAGATTAAAGTAAATGTCAACTTTTATTATGAACTAATCGCGAACGATGCTTGGAACGATTCTTTATCATTTGAATAGGATCGAAGAATTATCCGAAATTTATGGAACCAGCGGAAACATTTATTATGCGATACGATACGAGCATTTATCAGCAAAGTAATGGGGCAAGGACTCGTATTTTTGACATCAACTATCCCCTTGTATGATGTATATATGCAAGTGTCAGCTGTATCGAAAACGATATCATCTTCCATAAGTAAGCACGAGACATATAACTTGGAAAACTCGCGATGTTCGTTAATGTGAGAAATTTGATCGTGCTTCGTTATATCGAATAATTATATCAAAGTCATCAGTTGGCCAACCATAGATGACCCTGTCTAAAAGTTTGTCCCTGACATATTCGCTACTATATCTATTCTTATCCTCTTTTCGCAAATCGTATAATTTATAATTAATTATTTCTGTGATAACTTTAATAATTAATTACTTAGAAATGTTATAAATAAAATAATTATTGAGATTGTTTAAAGACTATGTGTGTGATTTGTAATTAAAATTGTAAGATATAAGATTATTAATATTCTTTTCTTAAATCTATCGCATCTTCTTGATTTTCACACCAACAAATAGAAGATAAGGTATGTGCAGAATTATCTAGCTTGTTATTTCATCTCTATTTTACGATATTTCGTAAATATACTCAAAAATGAAAATATTGACAGAGAAAAAGAGAGAGTCATAAAATTTAAAGATGTTACGAACAATATCTCTATTTCCTTTATTCATTTTCTTGATACTTTCACAGTTATCATGTTTCAAAAATAAACGAACTCCAATGAAATAGCAGAGTTAAAAAGCAGTAAAATAATAAAAAAGAAAAAGGAAAGATAAATTACTTATATTTCTTATTTTTTTGCAGTACAACTGTAAAATTTTGAAATTGGAAAGATAAAATTGCAGACATTTTTTTTCTTTAATTGGTCACACATATTAAAAATATAATATTGTCTCACAGATAATTAACAGTTCTAAAACAATGAAAGAAATTATAAAATTATAGTACAGTTGTAAAATCTTGAAATTGGAAAGATATAATTACAAACGTTTTTTTCTTTAATTGATTACACATATTAAAAATGAAATATTGTCTCATAGATAATTGATAGCTCTAAAACAATGAAAGAAATTATAAAAGACCCAAAATAAATTTTAAATAAATTATATGTATAAGTGTCTAAAACTGAAGGTAAAACGAGATGTTTGCGATGATAGATGACATCGACATATGCTTTCGTGGTTCATTTAAGAACATTCAGTCTTGTCTTTCATCATGCTTCACTAAGAGAAGTATTATTATACGTGACTCTCTCAAGATGACAACCAAAAACCTGGCAAGGTTGATAATGCACGGCTTTGAATTACGATGGGTTATAAAAATTTGGAGTCGACGGACTCTTATTCGGCGACAGAGGACGTCGATATGGAAATTCGATAATATATCCTTCCAGATATTTTGCACGCCCGCGATAAAAGTTGTAAAACTTCCGGCACTTCTCTTAAGACCTGAACTTCATAACCGAGATGAAATCTGATACTTTATACGATTCGGGATCGTGCTTAAGAACGCGATAGTTAGTTACCGGTAAAAGGAGGCATAAGCATTCGATTTATTGAGCGGCAAACTTTCTTGGCCAATTTAAACACGATAATTTCTTCTGATACTAATCCGATTATAAAGTACAACTAATGTATAGCACATTGCGATGTTCAAATTTCAGAATCACGAAGGTATTATATATTTCGCATTCTTTATATTACCATAATAAAAATATACGTTATAAAGAGATACATTAAATCATGTTTATTTACAAGTCGTCGAATCGTATGTAAGCAAACAAATTTATCAACGAAATTATTTTGCCTCTTTTCCAAGGTATAATCTACTCTACAAAATATCGCACGGGCACTTGTTTGTAGCACTTCTACGTTATTTTACACACTTTGTAAAGCCAGCTGGTAATTAAAAATTATTGCACGGGGACGAGAGTTGCAGCTCGTCCCTAAAGTAAGATTTGGTGTTCAGGCCACGGTGCGCGATATATCAATATGTAAATTAAGTCATTTATTAACTGTCCTTGCGCGCTACATAGAACACTTATTTATGTGTGCCATAATTATTCTCTAATTAGCCTTCAGTTATTCTGTAATTTGCGTTAATGAAAGCTGCAGTTATCCGTTATAAACTCGTTTCTTACCGATTAGCTGGAACATGCCTAGATGCATCCCTTGGAGATGCGAGCCACAGTACAGCATAGTGATCCTTGTATGTAGAATTCGTGAGAAAATAGTGAACATCTTCGTGACTGTGGGTGTATAGTACGTAGTTTCTGCAACAATTTATCGCAAATTATTAACTCTGACCTTGGCAACATGTATCTCATTAAGTACATTTCTGTTTTTCATTGCTTATAATATTTATAATTTCTTATTTGCAATAAAATTATGTTAAAATATGTTAAATTCCACGCGATTTGTTACATATTCTCTTTTTAACTCATTGTAATTAATTTTGATAAAAAAAGTACAATATTCAATGTAATTAATTTTTATTTAAAAAAGGCAATATATCCTAAAAAAATTACAAAGATTACAAAAAAAATTATTATTATATTTGCAAGTTCACAGGCATATCTTTTCTTTTATATTTTTAATTGTAATATATAATCTCAAGATATATCTGTGTATGTTACATTATATCTGTTACATAACTGTTATATCTATTACATTACTGTTACATTAAAAACAGCTGCGTGTATTTTGGTGCAATTTATATAGAAAAATAAAATATTTTGCTTGCAATATAATATATATACGAGAAAAAAAATGGACGTGATATACAAGGGCTCCGAATGCTTTGTTTTGTCGTCTAAGCCTAATGTTACAATTTTCGTACGATACATTTTTTAAGCACATTGATTGGCTACTAAAGATTCAAAAAATTATTATTCCGCAGCCAATCAACGCGCTTAAAAAATTTGTCGTACGACAAATGTAATATTAGGTTAATCGAGTGAAGTTAACATTTAGAAAGAGAGCGAAAATAGAGGATCTCGTTTCCTCTCTCTTTCTTTTTGTTTTTTTGTTAATTCATCTACGCAGAACAAGACAAAGAACAGAAAAGTTAGATTATCTGTCTCTTTCTATATGTTGGCTTCACCTTTTTGGTCATATGCGGAGGCGCCAAAGCCAACATATAGAAAGAGACAGATAATCTAACTCTTCTGTTCTTTGTCTCTTTCTGCGCAAATTACAAAAAAAAAAAAACAAAAAGAAAAAGGAAATAAGCCTCTCTATTCTCTTCCTAGATATTAGCTTTACTCAATTAAACAGTAAAACAAAGGGAGTCCATGGAAAAAAACAATTTTAACACTGATTTGTGATATGTCATGTTTGTACCTTGTCTTCTTTTCAAAGTGATATGTCATGTTTGAACCTTGTCTTCTTTTCAAAGATTTATACATTATCAGATTTTAATTCTTAAGTCTCAAATAACTTTCCTTAATACTTACTTTTAAGTAAAGACGAAATTAAACTCGAAGAATGAAGATTTCAAACGGAGACTTCACATTCGACTTGTTTGCCTCTCAAAAAATTATGAAACTTCCAGACTTAAACTGAAATAGGAGAGAGAGGGAGCCACATAAACGCGACATGTGCTGTCATCTACAGGAAGCTTTGCTAATTTAGCCAAACAACAAGTAGTCGGTGACAATCATGAATTCATACGACTATTTCCGCTTGTCGGTATTATCGGTAATTTTACGTTCGGGGAGAGAGAACGCTATTCTAGAAGTTCTAGGATACCAGGCTGTCACATCTCAAGGATCCCCTTAAAAAATTTAGAACAGTGGACTAGGAAAGAGTGACTGAAGAGCTTTCAAATGGCTACGCTCGAGGATAAATCTATTTGGGAGGATGGCGAGGTACGTTTTTTCTTTCTGTTGGAAAGAATAGCTCCGAGAAAGAGTTATTTAGTTATCCATAAATACTGTGTTTTGTAGGTTATGGCACTGAATGACAAGCACATCTGAGCATACATATATGTACAACATCGTGCTATTTATTTCCTAGCAAATTAATTATCACTTTTATTGATAATATTTTCTGCTTCTTTTTCATGCTTTTTCAGTATAAGTCTTTATTGCAATGTCAATGAATCACTGCAATTTTCTATCTGCTTAACTCAAGAAATTTACAAGAAAAAATATACTAGTCAAAATCTTTTATCATTTGTTTTCTTCCATCAAAATTGTATGTCTTATCTTTGCGAAAAATTATAAAAAATAAAACTTTATTTTAATTTAATTTGATTAACGTGATTAATTGCATTGATTTAAATTCACTATAAATCATAGAAGTCACACCAATATTCCTGAAATATTTGTACAGTAAATATCGCATATTTAAAAAAACATTTGTCTTTATGTGATTATATAAAATATTGTTGTCTAAATAACTTTATATGTTTTTAGTTTCAATTCTATGTATATAAAATATATAATATATAAAAACATATTTCTGTTACATATCTATTGTTTTTTTATAAAGAATAACTCTATAAAAAAGATAACGGATCATTGTTTCACAGGAGACACTAGGAGAAGATGTACTGCGAATGTCCACGGACGAAATCGTATCACGTACGCGACTTCTAGACAATGAAATCAAGATAATGAAGAGCGAAGTGATGCGGATTTCGCATGAACTCCAGGCACAGAACGATAAGATCAAAGAAAATACAGAAAAGATCAAGGTAAACAAGACCCTACCATACCTAGTGTCGAACGTTATCGAGTTGTTAGACGTCGATCCGCAAGACATGGGTGAGGAAGATGGAGCGGTAGTCGACTTAGATGCACAGAGAAAGGGCAAGTGCGCAGTTATAAAGACATCTACTCGTCAAACATACTTTCTACCTGTGATCGGGCTGGTTGACGCCGAATCGCTCAAGCCAGGTGACTTGGTGGGTGTGAACAAGGATAGTTACCTTGTGTTAGAGACACTTCCAGCTGAGTATGATGCCAGAGTCAAAGCCATGGAAGTAGATGAAAGACCCACAGAACAGTACTCTGATATTGGTGGATTGGACAAACAAATTCAGGAGTTAATTGAAGCTGTTGTATTACCCATGACACACAAGGAGAAATTCGAAAATTTAGGAATACAGCCTCCAAAGGGCGTTCTACTCTATGGTCCACCTGGAACTGGAAAGACTTTGTTAGCTAGAGCCTGTGCTGCTCAAACAAAATCTACCTTTCTAAAACTTGCCGGTCCGCAATTAGTGCAGATGTTCATTGGTGATGGCGCGAAATTAGTTAGAGATGCGTTTTCGTTGGCCAAGGAAAAAGCACCGGCAATAATATTTATCGATGAGCTGGACGCTATCGGCACAAAGCGTTTCGATTCAGAGAAAGCGGGCGATAGGGAAGTACAGCGCACTATGTTGGAGTTATTGAATCAATTGGATGGCTTTAGCTCGACGGCCGACATCAAAGTAATCGCCGCCACGAATAGAGTAGATATTTTAGATCCGGCCTTGTTGAGATCCGGACGTTTGGATAGAAAAATTGAGTTCCCACATCCCAACGAAGAAGCCAGGGCACGCATCATGCAAATTCATTCACGCAAAATGAATATGTCACCCGATGTGAATTTCGAGGAATTATCCAGATCAACGGATGATTTTAACGGAGCACAATGCAAAGCTGTTTGTGTGGAAGCAGTAAGTCTCTTTACATTTAACAATAATAATGCAAATGCGGCAGTGAGTTATTCAATATGATAAAAATTTATTCTTTAGAGAGTGTCTAAAATTAAATGAAGCTTTTTTTTATTTATATGTACAATATAACATTATTTTATTCAATGATTGTTTTTATTTTTAATTATTTTATAACAACTCTTAATAATAAATCAAATAATATATTTTATTTGTTGTATATATCCAATTAATTTATTCTAACTTATTTTAACTCGATTTTTTATACACACAATTCGTCAAAATAATTAAGACATGATGTATTTATAGGGTATGATAGCATTACGACGCAATGCAACAGAAGTAACTCACGAAGATTTGATGGAAGCTATCAATGAAGTTCAAGCAAAAAAGAAAGCAAATCTTAATTATTATGCTTAATATGCCACGCCGAACCATTTATTTATTAAGGTATCTTTTGTATAATATAGAAGAAAAAAAAAGAAGAGAAATAAATCTTGTCTCAATACTGCAGATTTTTTAACAAATTAATTATTTTAACAGATTATTGTTTATACAATAAACGACTAAATTAGCATTCTTCAAAGCCGTTTGTATGAAAAGATTTAAAGAAAAATATTACATTTATCTTATCACTAGTTTTCTTGTACACTAGTACATATACTATATATTTAGTACATATTTAAATATATTTGCAATATGGATTGAGAGAGAGAGAGAGAGAGAAAGAGAGATTAGACTTATCAATTAAGATTTGAATGTTATTTGTTGCTAAATCATTATGGAAATAAAATTTTAACGATTAATTTAGCATTTAAATGTCTCACTCTATATATGCTTTATAGGATTTTGTAATATTTAATAATGTATAAAAACAAAAAATTTTCCTAGGAAGATAATGAAAGGAATATAGAAGTAAAATATTCGTACAAAATATTAATATTTTCTTATGTGATTGATTAATATAGATTTGTGATTTTTTATTGATTGATTAATTGTATAAAGGTTTTTAAAGTTTTTAATGGATATATTTTACATAAGATATGTTTATCGCCTCCTATGACTTCGTTTTCTGATTCTGTAAAAATAGACATATCAAACAAATATTAATATGTACATCATTTTAAAGTATCATAATTATTTAAAAATCTTAAATTAGCTACATAGTATTACTTACTTTTTGGGTCCTTTCACGAAACACCAATCGACAGAAATAGCCTGACCTAAAATCTCTGTACCATTCAAAGCTTCTTTTGCAGCTTGTGCTTCCTTAAATGTTTCGTATTCCACCAATGCGTAGCCTTTCAGAAATCCTGTTCTTCTGTCCAAATTTAAATGCAAGTTCTTAATTTGACCAAATTCAGAGAATTTATCTTGAATATCGTCCTCTTGTGCTTCTTCATGCACTGAATTTATGAATAAAATCCATCCTTCCACAGCTAAAAATATGAAGAGATTAAAGATACGTTGTAACAGTTTCATAATTTTAAAAGTTACAAAGAAAATATATCTTACATCTTTGAGGCCCAGGCTCATTATCATCTTCCTCAACAACATTCATGGACTCATAATGACCAACATCATCTCTTGTAGATACTAATTCTGCACCATGGCCTCTACCTTTCCTTCTCTTTGCCTTCTCCTTAAGACGAGCAATACCCTCTGAAAGCATATCAAAGTAATTAAAAGTCTGTCACATTCTAATTCGAATATTTTTATAACAATTTCTTTTTATAAAAATTTGTTATGTAATGAATTTAGTCAAGATTGAGAAAAAACTTGCTATCAATATTACTCAATTATATGTAATAATTATATATTATTTTAAAATATAATAAGAGAAATTTCATAGTATTAAACTTACAAAAAATTAAAAATATAAATAATGTATATTGTATCATTAAAAAAGTATCTAAAACAATACAAATAATAAAATATAGAAAACATTAAAAATGAAAGAAGAGGTTATGTACTAAAATTGATGCTTGCAAACATCCACAAACGGAAACGAAACTTACGATCTCCTTCATCATCTACTTCGAACTCTTCAGCGTTATCAATGTCCAAAACATCTGCCATGGCGATTTTAATAATATGTAAATGTTTCTGTTTTATATTTTACTTTATTATTCGATTACAAACAAAACTTGCAAAGAATAAGATGGATGACACGAATCCTCCCCGAAGAACAGACACAATTCCAGAAGAGCGCCACTAGGAAGCATAGATGATATAAACAATCTAGAAAGCGGTCATCTCAACGTTAACTAACTCATTTAGTGTCGCCATCTATATATGCACACACATAGACACACACACAATATATGTATATTTTTATATATATAAAAAATATTAAATATTAAAAATCTTATAATTATGTTACATTTTTATATAATTATAAAATAGTCAGATATGCATTTTGTATTGCTTTATTCAATATACATATAAATTCAATAACAAGTAATATAGACGCATAAAATGTACATGTATGAAAATTATATAAAGGATGCAATCTTTTTGTACCTATGCATAAAGAGGAATTTTTAAAAATTATTTTTGTATTCAATAAATCACATTAGTATTTTTAGAAATACAAAAAGCATTTTTTCTTTATTAATATTAATATATTTATAATATTATGTTATTATATTAATATTGTAATATTATATTACTATATTAATAATAAAAATTTATAATATTATATAATTATTAATATTAATATATTCTCTTTATTAATGCACAAAAAAATTTTGTATAATTTAAATTTACACATATATATATATATATATATATATATATATATATATATATACTTATATTTCTAGAAATATAAAATTAATCTTCTTAATGCATCGTCGAAAACCAAAAAGAAACATCTTATAAAAGATTTTCTACATCTTTATAATAATACATATTACATAATATATATAACAAAAAAAAATTATTTACATTCAAATTTCTCGAATGTAAAATTTTAATATTATTTTTTCATTTAAATTTAAATGTTTACATTTTAAATTTCATTATTCTCTGTAAACAATAAATAAACATAATTTATTTTATTAAAAAATTTTATTAAATCTATTATTCATATTTCTTATTTCATTCAATTTCTCGAATGTAAACATTTTAATATTATTTTTTCAATTTAAATTGTAGAATGGTTTCACACTGTTGGTAAATTTCATATATTCTCTGTAAACAGATAAAAATAAGACCAGTAATTTATTTTATTAAAAATTTTATTAAATCTATTATGTCATATTGCTCTCTCTCTCTCTCTCTCTCTCTCTCTCTCTATATATATATATATATATATATATATATATATATATATAGAGCAAACCAAAATATTGCAGCTACATTGCCGCAACATTGCCGCAACATTGCTGCAATTTTATGCTGATTATTTCAGATCTTTCATGACTCACCTGAAATACTGATTTGTATGTTATTTTTATGTGATAAATGTTGCATATGACAATGTGAACAAGTGTTCTCAGTATTTCCCAATATCTCTAGACATTTAACGTGTATAAATTGTGTGTGATTCTTACACGGGCTGAATATGAATAATTTTTCCTCCTTCACATCTATTATAATTATATACAATTATTTTACAATTTATTTATGTATGTTTGCAATGCAAAATACATAAATAACACACATTTCAAATTTTATTCTGTAAATATTTTTATAAAGAAAATTTATTCAAATTATTATATAAAAAGAATGCATACCCTTATTATCCTGCAACGCCAGCAAGATATTAATACAATCCTCTTTGTTCAGTCGCTTATCAATAATTTCATCATAATTTTCCATTTTAATTATGTTATTGATGTTAATTATGTTAATTATATTATTAATTTATTGAGCAGTAAAGTGTTAAATTTTTATTGCGATAATATAAAGTTAATATTATCTAAAAGTTTTATAAATTTTACTCTACACTTCTATCGCTACGGTGAATTTATTAATACTGTTACTTTTGATATTGTCTTACTTTATTTACATTTGTTCTTTTAATAACAACAGCTGTTCAGAATCCATATTTGAGACTTCGAAACCTTAAGATTCTAAGAAGCTTTTTTTAATATTGTATATATTAAATTTTTTGTTACTTATTTTTAAAATATATACAAAAAACCGTCGAAGCCAAATCTACACGGCCTTTTTTATATTTTATATTGTATTTAATTAAAATTTGAAAATTACATAATCATATTTTTGTTTATTATTATATAGATGGAATATAAAAGTATTATAGGTATTGTGTATAATAATATATATAATCTCTGTTGAAATATTAATTATTTTAGCCGTTTCTACAATTTAGATTCTATTTATATATTACAGTTCAAATAGTTTTGACTTGTATATTCATTAATATTTTATTTTGGCTCTGAAGTTATTTGATTTTGTTATCCTTTTTTATATTAATTTTATATAGGGCCGTTTTTATTTCAGTAAGAGGTACAATTTTAAATATATTAAAATCTTTACTGTTACACAAATATCAAAATTAAATTATTATATATATATATATATATATAATCCCAGGTAGCAAGATGACGTTTCCAAACGTCTTAATGACGTACAATGATGTCATTAAAACGTTATTAAGTTGTCATTTAACGTCACTCTGCTACCTGGGATATATAATAATTTAATTTTGATATTTGTGTGACAATAAAGATTTTAATAAAGTAACGGATTTGGATATTTGTGTGACAGTAAAGATTTTAATAAAGTAACAGAAATATATTTTCGATAAATAGAAAATATATTTCCATTACTTTATTTCACATTAACATTTAAGTTTATTTTATTGAAAAAGAAATAATTATATATAAGTATATACATATATTGCATATTACATTATTATTATAAAAATGGATTTTTTTCGTCATATTCATATATAAAGGAAAATTTTACAAACTGATTTTATAATTATAAAATTAACCTATAAAATTTTTCTATGTTCACTTAGATTTCTGAAAATAAGGAGGAAGTCATTTTTCTTTATATTCCTATATAAAGAAAAATTTTGCAAACTAAATTCATTATGGTGCATTCTGCAAATAATAGTGCATTCTGAAAATATCCAGATTCTAAATTTAAATTTTATTTTAAAATTACTCAAAATGTAGTCAAAATGTAAAATTATAAATGCAATTATTTTTTTACATTTATAGTTCATAGTATAGTCATAGTATTTATAATTATGTTATAGCATGAAAATATAATGATAAAATTATTTTATACTGTTTCTTCACCCGCAATCAAACGCTGATATGAAATTGACTCCAATTTCATTTCTTGATTACTATCATACCATCTTTGACAACTTTCACGCATGCTGCAAACAAATAAAAAGTAAATAATTCATTTTACTGTAGACTAAAAAATATATGTTGCATTATACATGTTTAAATATGACAATTACAATTAATAAATTTTCTTTTATAATCACAGTTAAAATATTTTTCATTTATGCATAAACTATTTTACTGTTCAAAAGAATCCGAATGTAAAAAGCTGAGCATAGTTATATGTAATTAATTAATTCCGACATACCTTATAATACATTTCCGCATTATGCGATATTCGTTAGCAAGTGGAAGTAGAAGTAGACCAAAAAGAAGGATAACAATAATTAAAACTGGTATAAATTTTCCAATCTTTGCTACAATAAGGTATTCAATTAAATATTTAATTATAATAATTAAACCAATCTTCAATAGTATCAAAATAAGCATTTTAAAACTAGAAACACAGCAACATTTTAGCATGTTTGAAGTAGTTGTATTTGTGCACCACTGTTAAAAAAAAATTAATAACATCATAAATTATCATTAATAAAATATTTTATTTTTTTTAAATTAAACGAAATGTTTTTATAAATAAAACGTTTCTTTTTTAGTATATTATTTTTATTACAATTAATATCGAAAACACAAGTTTGAAATTATTACTTTGTCATTAAATTTAATTATTCTCATATCTTTGTTATATTTGTGCTCGAAAACGCTATAACTTATGTTATATATTAAATTAAATAATCATATTAAGTTGTAAACAGTTCGCGATAAAAAACATTATAAATCTTGTTACAAGTTTTATTACTTTTACATATAATATTTGGATATTGATATTTCTTTATTTTATAAGTCTCATTTTTTGTAAGAACATTATTCTTTGAGTTGCAAAATAATAATCCATTTTACAAAGGAAAAATTCTTTTTTTCATTTTCTTTTTTTCAAACTTACTCTACTATTTTCTTTAAATATTCAATTTTTAGCTCTTTCAAAATTTACCTTTATTGGTGGTTTATTTTCTCGTCTTAATGGCAAAGAAACATCACAAATTCTGCAGTGATAGATACTTCTAACGTTTACCGACTTCTCTAAACACTTAACATGCACAAATTGTAAAACATCACTACATAAACACAGACGTATGAGTTTTCCTTTGTCTATACTTATACCTAAATATAAACAAATTTATATATGCAATATTTGATTAATAATTGTATATGTACATACACACACACACACACATATATATATATATATGATACATTTTCATATTATCATATTCGTCCATATATATTATTGATCTTGTTAGGAAATCATTTTTAATCGGATTATTGCAACTTGCTTGCAATATTAACATACTTCTTATTTATAATAATATGGGCAAGTTTGAATGTAGATATAAATAGATAATAATCGAGCAATGATTATATTGAAATAGATAATTTATTATTTCATACAATTCTCTTTCTTTAAAAAGCGATAGCTATAGAAAAATTTGTAGTATTTAAACTTATCTTTTATGTTTACTTTAAATTTTACAATATAAAATTTGTTATGCAGATGAAAGTTTTATCATTTTCCTTTCTTTTATTCATGAAAAAAATAAAATTACGTACCTTCGTGACAACGCCAACATTTAGCTATTCGCAGAGAATCGTCGCTGAGAGCAGCAGAATTTAAATTTTCGTTCTCTATATTTAACGTTTCCATTTCTATTTTCACTGTTGGTTCCTCTTTGAATTCCATTCTTAGTTATTAAACAAACCAATGACTATTAAATAATTATATACGTTGTTAAATAATAAAGAATGCTATATACATTTATATATTGCACTGTATTAAAAAGTTCAAATTTTTCACTTTGTGCGATGTCACCGTACGGTTGACTTATTCATACTGCTATCTTTGAAGGAAAATATTTTGATGTATTTATACAAACATGATTTAAAAGCAACTGTTAGGAATATTTGAGAGATTTGTTTTGAAAACATCCTTTTTCATCCTATCACATATACATATTGAAAATATACGATTCAAATCGTCAGTTAGAACCAATCCAAGCAAGTGTGATTATTTATACATTTTTAAATATAATTAATAAGGGTCGACACGTCATAATTAATATATTATATAATTATTTTCTTAATTTTCTTAATTCTTATCTCTTAATTCTTATCTATGTGAGTTGATGACTCGATTCTAGCATTTATTTAATTTTTAATTTAATATTTATCCCCCTATCCCTATCTGTTTCATTTCAAATAATTGAATATATCAACTTTATCATAATTTCAATCCCCGATATTTCTCACATTTCAGTTGTTACATTTATCTTTCCAAACATATTAAAAATTCAAAATTCTTGTTCACATATATCAAAATCAAATTAAATCTATTATTTCAACAAATAAAAAACATGCAGCTATCCAATATAAATAAAATAAATCATCTCTTAAGTAAAAATTTACTTAAAGTAATATGAAGAAATTATTGAGGTTTGTATCCAAAATCCATTCCAATGAATTCTAATAAATTAAATAAGAATCTAGTTTTTATAAAAAAATAATATTAGACATATAATATATGTATCATAGAATAAATTTTTTTAAATTTGTAATTTATTCTATTTCTTTGTCGTTTTTTTTTTGTAGCCAAAAACCTTATGTTCGCCGGAAATGGCGATGATACCAGTAATAAAGCATACATTAAACGAACGAGTGCTTAGTACGAGATCGACAGACGACAAAAAGGATGACGAGAAATCAGAAAAAAAATTGACAGTTCTCGAGTCGCACGGTTATATTCTCGGAAAGACTATAGGAGCTGGATCGTATGCCACAGTCAAGGTAATGCATTCCAAATCTACTCTATTTCCTTTTAAATGTCAAATTTCTTTTAAATTTTAAATATTTTTTATTCATTATTTTATTATTTAGAAATTATTAAATTATTTAAATTATTTTATTTGTTAGATCGCAAAATCTAATCGGCATGATTGTCACGTAGCGGTAAAGATAGTCTCGAAATTCCAAGCGCCTGAAGATCATCTTACAAAATTTCTACCTCGTGAGATCGAAGTGGTCAAAGGATTAAAACATCCAAATCTGATTCGCTTCCTGCAGGCCATAGAAACCACTCATCGGTTGAGTTGTGCTTCCAATGTTTTATTGTTGATTAATTTTCAATAATTAACATTTTTAAAATGACCTGACGAGAATAGGTGTATTAAAAGCGATTTACAGGATTTTGTTATATGAAATTTTTGTCGATATTTTATAAATCGTTCTGCTTTTTCATAGAGTGTACATTATCATGGAATATGCACAAAACGGCAGTTTGTTTGATGTAATACGTCGCGATATTTACATCGATGAGATGCGTAGCCGGAAGTGGTTTCGCCAACTCTTGGAGGCTATTGATTATTGCCATGATCGTGGCATAGTACATAGGTAAAAAATTAAATAAATAAATAAATAAATAAATAAATAAATAAAATTAATGTAAAATGAATATTTGTTAAGCTTGTCAAGATCATCTTCTAGTGTTTCGCAATAATTTTTTTCTGGAAATCTTTACAGAGACATTAAGTGCGAAAATTTGCTTATGGATCATAATTTTAATATTAAATTGTCGGACTTTGGATTCGCACGAAGTCAAATGAAACCAAAAAATGGCGAGTCGCTTCTTAGTACAACTTATTGTGGCAGTTATGCTTATGCATCACCCGAAATTCTACGAGGTATTCCATATCAGCCTCAACTTTCCGACATATGGTCCATGGGAGTGGTGCTTTATACTATGGTGTACGGTCGGCTGCCATTCGACGATACAAATCACGCGCAACTATTAAAGGTATAGGTATATGCCAGGTCCGGGAATATTCATTGTAGTCCAGATCGATGCTAATTTTTTCGTATTTACGTCTTTGGGATATAAATATAATGCATTTGCACCTAGAAGTTATAATATTTTTAACTTAATCACATTACAAATAAATTTAAAATATTAATATAGAGTATAAATAGAAATAATAAACTTATGCACACAATGTAAATTAAAAGAGATTATTTGTTATCATTTTTTACATAAATTATTTATAAATTACCATATATTTCACATATTTATTCGCTGCTTTAATGTAGTCCTTTCTCTCTTTTTTCAGCAAGTACAAAATAGAGTGGGATTTCCTAAACTTCCTAAAGTATCTCGATCATGTCGTTCTCTCATTAGCCGTATATTAGTACCCCAATCGATACGATTGCGCATCAAAAGTATAAGAAATGACGCCTGGTTAGAGACATCCGTCGTCGCTCAAACGTCGATCAGTGGCAGATTTTTTGTAAGAATTAATTGATAAAATTATACAAGATTTTCATGAATTGTGCTTGATTGTATTTTACATGTTATCAGGAACTAATATCTGCTGTACCATCAAATAAGGAATCCAAAGTATTCAATGAACATATAATATCAATTGCTTCAGCAAACTTTCAAAAAAGTGAGAATTCTGAAAACGCTATTGTTCAAGATAACACAAAAAAACCGATTTAAAATGTGAAACTATAACTATACTAACGTAAACTAATGTAAAAAAAATTAATTAAGATATTAAAAATGTTTGAAATAATTTGATGACGTTATTACATTAATATGGCACTTTTTATTCTTGACTTTCTTTTTAAATCAATAATACTATATTTATACTGATATAAAATAATATCACGCTTAAATGTTATTTTCAGTTCCATTGATTATGGCTTGCTTAAATGAAATATGTTGTATACGAATCATTATAAGGTAGATCTGCACTTAGCAATCATAAGCACTATCATACTGGTAATTATAAATACACCGGCCGCAGTCGACCTATGTATATCTATTATATTATCTGTAATAGAAATATTTGCCATTTAAAAACTTATGTAATAACAATCATCGCTAATATTCATTACTTACCATTTGTTTCTGGAAGTAATTCCCAACCTAAGCTCCTACCAATAGCCATTTTCCACTGAGAATATAAAATATCACGTTCTAAAATAAATATATTCAAGTAATTTCTATAAAACAATTTTAATGTTTAATAATAAAAAAGAGATAATTGTTGTGTTATAAGCACCATTTTCAGTTATTGACGGCAAAAAAATGTCACTAGGAACGGCGGCATCAATCTTGACATCCCACTTGCGTATTCCTTCTGCGCTTCCTGCGGCAATTGCGACCCCAAGTGCAGTAGTTTCACACATCAGTGGCCTGACTTATAGAATTTCATATATTTGTTTATTAACTTATAAATTATAAATTAATTTGTATTATTTTTTGTGTATAACTCATTATATGTATATATGTATATACATATAATCTATTTAGTAACAAAATATCAATGGACCTGATGAAAACTCGTTCGTTTCGCCAAGTTTCTCCATGGAATGAAAAAAGCCAGTAGTAACATGCCACATTCTCCTTACTTTGCTCATCTATGCATAACATGTGTGTGTGTATGTGTGTGTGTGTATATGAATTATTTGATATCTTATTTACCTACTGGAATTCCACAGATATCAGCTTGCATTTGCATTAATAAATCATTAGTAGTCATTGCACCATCGACTAATAGTTTTGACAATACTAAGCCAGTATCTTCTTTCATAGCTTCCAAAATGTCTCTTGTCTGAAAGCATACTGCCTGCAAAGCTGCCTTTATAATATGTGCGCTATTAGTATCTTCACTGATACCACAAATGATACTGAAACAATTGATTTATAAAAATTTAAAAGTTGTGCTTCAAAGTTTAATGAAATGCTTCCATATTAAATAAAATTCCATATAAAATTAAGAAACCTTCGCGCATCTTTTCTCCAATATGGAGCATACAGCCCAGCAAATGCTGGTACAAAAACAACACGGTTGTCTGTTGGTATTTGTTCAACAATAGTTTCACAGTCTTTTACATTAGTCAATATTCCAAGATTATCTTTCAGCCATTGTATAACAGCACCTGCGATAGCAACTGACCCTTCAAGAGCATATACTGGGGAAGCATCTGCTCCTAATTGATAAGCAACTGTTGTTAATAAACCATGAGATGAATCCACAATCTGAAATGTATGAAGACAATTTTTTACAATTAAACTTAAACATTTATTTTTATATAATATTGTAACAATGCAATAAAATATTTCTTACAGCTGTGCCAGTATTGTAAAGAAGAAAGCAACCAGTGCCATAAGTACTTTTTGCCTGTCCTTGTTGTAGACACATTTGACCTACTAGAGCTGATTGTTGATCACCTAAGCACTAGAATAAGTAATTTTCATTTTAGAATTAAATCTTTTCTAGCACACATTTTACATTTAATATTTTAGAATGAAATAAAATCTGAGGATAGAAATATTATATTATCATCATTGAAAGCTCTATTGAATATTACTTAATATTTTATATTACAAATAATTAAATATAAAACAAGGGATTACCCCAGATATAGGAACGCCCTGTAGCAATTCATCTTGTATATAACCATAAATCTCGGAAGAGCTTCGTATTTCAGGCAAAATTTCAGCAGGTATTTTAAAAAATGATAACAGAGTAGGATCCCATTTCAGAGTCATAATATTCATTAACATTGTTCTCGAAGCATTTGTAACATCTGTACTATGAACACCACCATTAGCACCACCAGTCAAATTCTAATTGCAAAATTGAAACATAAACATTATATATTAATATAAGATTTGTTATATTATAATATTTTTGTAAACAAACCCAAATTAGCCAGGAATCAATGGTGCCAAACATAAGACGTTTAGCAATCAATGCTTCTTGAACTTTAGGTATATTTTCCAACAACCATTTCAACTTTAATGCACTAAAATAGGGGCTAATCGGCAAGCCACAAAGTGGTTTCAAGTAATCTTTGTTTTTATTCCGTATATTCTTTAATATATCATCCACAATCGATGTGGTTCTCATATCCATCCATACTGTGTTTTCAAATCATAAATTATTGCAAACAGAAAATATCTATTTTATATATATGTATAAATATTTATTATAATGCAACTTTACCTATGGCATTGTAAAGTGGTTGTCCTGTGATAGAGTCCCATACAACTGTAGTTTCTCTCTGGTTTGTTATACCAATTGCAACTATGTCGGCTGGGTCTATCGTCAGTTGTCTTAAATTAAATACAGTTTGTTTAAGGCATTCTCTAACTGCTTTTAATATTTCTAAAGCATCTTGTTCAACCCATCCCTCTTTTGGGTATGTTTGCGATATTGGGACTTGATGATATGTTAAAACTTCTGCTGTATTCGCTGCAAAAACCTATATCACAATACACAGAAAAATAAGTACATTCTTATATTAGAAATATATTAATTAAAATTAATAATGAAAAATTAATTTCAAGCAAATATAAGCAAGCATAAAAAATTTACTTATAATTCTTATAATATCACTAAATTATAATCTACACGCACACACACATTTACAAGGCACTGTTATCATTTTAAATTTAACATTAGGATAATATTCAATTTATTTTCATTATACAAATTACTTGTGACAGATATGTTTTAAAAGTTAGATTATTTCGTAACTCATTATGCGTGCTTATCGTTGCAATTATTTATATGCTACAAAAAAAATATCTCGTACCAGAAACCTAGCACTGCTCGTGCCCTCGTCAATTGCGCCGACAAGAGGCCCGTATCTGCTCATCGAGTCATTTTTGTTCATTTGAGCAAACCTAATTATACCTCGACACGAGCACGATTGTCACACGAGATTACACGTGAGTTTACTGTTCGTGCGGCAGTGATACTCGAAGTTACAGCTTTTTGATCGCGTCAATAATCTGAATTAACCAAGATTATTGAATGATTTTACGTTATTTCTTGAAATACAATATAATAGAGAAGAATCATGTCAAATGAAATTTAAATTAATGTGCAACTGGAACTTTGAACAATTTAATTGAATTCCAATGTAAATTCAAATGCAAATTAATTAATCCAAAGTCACTTGAACGACTTGCTTAGAATAAATAAATGATACATACATTTTATTTTTAGAGGAAGGTTATAAAAAAATATGTAGATTATAAGAAGAATAGGAGATTACAAGAATATCTTTTCCTTTATATTAATATTTTTATTAAATAGGATAAAATAATTTATACCCCTTGATTTTAACAATCAATAATTTCAAGGAAATTATAGATAATTCACCTAAATGCTGATCTATATACAATGTATATATATATATTACAATATTTATGTCATAATTTTAAATTTTCATCAAACACAGATATCAGAAATCCGACTATTTTCATTCAATAAACTATTTAAATAAACTGAGAATTATTTTAAATCCGTAAAGACATCTATTCCTGTCAAATCTACATCTTCCTCTTCCCTTTAATTACATCGATTTATCTCAATTACAGCAAGCGCAAAATTACGAAGAATGAATCTAACAAAATTATACACACATGCAACACGACGTTACCATCAGAGCACCTTGTAAAAGACTCGAAACGTCTCTATTTATACGAAGAAAAAAATAAATAAATAAAATAAATTGACTTCTCATTTCTCCTTTCTTTCCTGTATCTTAAGGAAAAAGGGATTTTTATTGCGAGATACTGTCTCTTAATATCTTCGACAGAGGTAAGTCTAATATCAGCCGCTTGCGTACAAGGCAGGAACGCGGCGTCCTTTGCCGTGTTTCCGGCAGAGGGCGCGCTCTACCCGCCGCAACCTTTGACGCGACACATGTAATGTTCCAGGTCCTTTCTGCGGTGGGACAGCTGCCGGGGAGTAAAAACGCGCGGCCGAATAACGCTGACTCGAGATTCCAACGTCAGTCGCCATTTTCGGACCGGATAAGCCTCTCGCGCAAGGGCGTGAACGCCGTCGTCAGGACAGTTTCGCCGTTTCACTCGCTGCCAATCGTCCGCATCCGTGGGACGAAAATTTCAAGTCAGTGCTGGCAACTTTTTGTCTGTTATCATTATATCTGCCTCTCGCTCTGCGTGCGTCTCGTCCGGACGATGCGACACGCGGAGCTTTGGACGACGACGTTACGTTTGGCGACGATTAAACATGGCTGTGTCGAGACGACTAGGTCTCTATTTTCTCCTTTCTCGCGCTGAATATCCTCGGCGATCTAAGATGTAAGATAAGACGTAAACGTGGCATGAGACGAGACAGCCAGGTTTAACGCCGAATCGAACGACGATGTCAATTGATGGCAATCATTTGATTATCCAAGCATGCCAACAAACCTTATCGCGTCTAGCGCTAAACCCAATTGTTCGAGATCCCGGGATTTACGCGTTACTTGATTCACGTCGGGTGTAAACACCATGGAAAGCTGAAGGGAATCGGAGCAGCCATGTTTAGCGCTAGAGTCGGGACAAACGACACGCGTTCACGTTTCGCTCGTCAAGGGCGAGCGTCGTGTCATGGTTCGCCTGGCGCTCAGGCATAATTAATTGACGATTTTAAATATTAAATACTTTCGAGATGAATTATAATTTTAAATATTAAAATTAATTTCTCTCTATATGCATGTTCAATCCATGATAGAAATTCCAAATTATGTAAAAATATACAAATTATGTAATAATGTTACAAAAAATATCGCTAGATTTTTAAGTGGCAGAAACAATTTGAATATTGAAATAATATTTGAATATATGTTTCTTAAACAATTTGAATATCAAATTTCTAAATAATTTATTACATTCGATATCGTATTCATACTTTTTTTCATATTTTAAGATAATTCTCGAAATTGAATTTTTAAACTATATATTTAAAGTCTGAATTTTTGAATTATATATTTAAAGTTATACTATATATTATATACTTAAATCTAATATCCAATAAGAGAGAAAATTTTTTAATTATAGCAGAAAAAATGACAGCTGATAAGGATTGCACACACTGCTTAGTGTGCAATAGTAAAGCTGGAGTATCTACTAGAAATAGCGTTCGCATCTTCAATGATTCGACTAATACTACATCGGAGAAGTCACTTGCTGATATTATAGCAACCGTTTTAAAAAAAGATATTAATGAGGAATCTGTTCATTCCCTTGTCATTTGTAAAAAATGCTTTAAATTATTCAATGAGGTAAGGCATTACGCTCATAGTTTTGTTAACAGTCAATTTGTTGAGAAATCTTACTACAATTTTTTCATGATTCATATAGGTTGATGAACTTGAAACTAGATTAACAGAAATCAAGCTTGAATTGTTTAACAATTATAAAAAAACAGTAAAGAAATTGCCTAATATACTTTATAATGAAGAAGAATATAATGATCATGATTACATAGACAGTACAGAAAACAATGATGAAACAGAGGTAAAATATGCTATATAAAACTTGATAAAAATCAATAAATTACATGTATGATACGTAATATTCTATAATTGTACTAATGATATTCATAGGAGAGAGATGATGTACGAAATGATAAGGACTTTACACCAGATGATACACCAGAAGAAGAAGAAGAATTTCTTGGAAATACAGAAGAAATTGTATTGGAAGTTGAAGAACTAAATGATAATTCGGATGAATCTGTCACAATACAAAATTTAAAAAAGAAATTGAAAAAGAAACTCAATATGAAAGTAGACACTAATCAAGAACAAGTATGTACAAAACAATTTTTTTGTTTACATTAGTTTATAAAAAATTATGGTACATATTAATATTTATCTTTTTCAGATTGTACTTAGAGATGAATCTTCATACAGTTGCTTGTTATGTACAGATGAAAAGGAAAAAGTTACGGCAGATGCTAAAACTATTATAGCGCATATGAAAGATGTACATGACGCTCGTTTGTATATTTGCGACGTGTGTGGGCAAGATTTCAGGAAAAGAAACGAACTTTCCTTACATCTTGATGATCATGTTGCAAAGGAGGAAGGGGATTTTCAATGTGAGATATGTAATAGAATATTTAGTAACTTACGATTATTCCGAATTCATAAAAGGATACATTATCCGCAAGTGAAGTCATGGCCCTGTGACGTATGTGGAAAGAGATATAGGTATAGTATACTATGCAAATAAAGTAAAATTGTAGGATATAAATAAAATGAGTGAGATGTATAAGATCATTAATTCTATTTCAGTTCTAAAAATTTATTGGATGAACACATGAATATACATATGGGTGTACGCCCATATGTGTGCGAGACATGTAATAAAGACTTTGCATCCAAATATACATATAAAGCGCACGTAAAAACACACGAAGTACGACCTCGTCCATTCGAGTGCACTCAATGCGATAAAACATTTTTGAACCAGCAAAATTTGAATCAACATGAACGAACACATAAGGGAGTAAAGGAGCATGTATGTCACCAATGTGGTAAGATTTATATGATATTTTATTGATGAGAGTATATTTTTTGACAAATTAATGTCTTTATATATCAATAATCAACAACTATCTTTTATTTTAACACTTTCTTATTTACATTAATATCTGTTTTTTTTTAAACTAGGCAAAGCTTTTGGCTCACATCACAATTTAGAAGTACACAACATAGTGCATACTGGATATAAACCCTATATATGTAGAATATGTGGCAAAGCATTTGCACGTAAAGCAGAAATACGCGATCATGAACGAACTCATACAGGTGAGAAACCTTATCAGTGTGAATTCTGCGGAGCAACATTTAGGTAAGTATTCAGCAAAATGGGATTTATAGCAATACAAGTCCATGTAGTTACATTAATAATTCACAAACGATAATTGACATAGTTGTTATTTTTGTATTCAGTCAGAGATCAAATCTGCAATCCCACAAGCGAGCAACACATTATAATGATAAACGTTACATATGCGACAAATGTCAAAAAGGTTTCAAACGAAGAAGGTTGTTGGATTATCATATAAAAGCAGCTCATACTGGCGAAAGACCATACAAATGTGACGTATGTACAGCTACATTCGTCTATCCTGAGCACTTTAAGAAACACAGGCGCATACATACGGGCGAGAAACCTTTTCTTTGTGAGGTAAGAAATTAGCTTTAGAATTATTATTAAAATAATGTCTTTTCATTCGATTTATTTTCATTCTTGAATGTTTAATGTAAATATGTTTTTTCAGGTCTGTGGTAAAGCTTTTAATAGCAGGGATAACAGAAATGCACATAGATTTATTCATAGTGATAAAAAACCATATGAATGTTTGAGATGTGGAATGGGATTTATGAGAAAACCATTGCTTTATGCCCATATGCAAACTCAGGTAATAAAAAAAAAGTTAATCTATTCTTCTCAACATAAATATATAAATCATATATAATTTATTACAAAATATTTTTTATTATTTATTATGTGTTATATTATTTATTATATATATTTATTATCTATATTGCTCCATATATTGCAATGCATAAAAGATTATTAGTAACATTACTTATTAAATATTTATATTTATTATCTAGGGTCACTTAAATGATACCATAGTAGTGAATCAACCACGATTGACAACAGAAGAAGAGCAAGTAATAACGATTCCTGATAATGGCGAACTATTGATGGAAGACGCTGAAACTGGACAGGTAATTTTTTTCCATAATATAATTCCATGATATAATATGCTATGTAAACTGTATCAACTCTTAATGTTGTGCATTGACAAATAGAAAATGTAAAAAGATTTTATATAACATATTTATTTTTAATAATAATTTAAGTATTTTAAAATGTAAAATTTACATTTTAATATATACGGAATTTTAATGAAATGCTATATTTGTTTGTTTAGTTGAATGAAACCGGATTGTATGTGACTGAATTGAAAGACCACGTAATTATACAAGAAGGAGATCAAATTTATAACGACGAGGCTGTTTTATTGAAAATACCTGCAGAAGAAACTGTAAGCGGTGAAGTGAGTCATATCGTTGTTGAGGATCAGGTAAACTAATATTTCTCGAAAGCTTGCAGTGATACTCGTTTGTCGTATCAAATATCTTTATATGTTTCCTCTTATAGATGGATTTCGTGGAAAATGATGATATTGAATGCAAAACCGAAGCTGTAGAACAAGTGGAAACGGTTTACACTTATAATGAGAATGATGAAGGTGAGACAATAGTTGTGCCAGCCACTACGGATTATAAAGAGATAGTAGAGGACAAAAATGTGCGATTAGTACAGATCAGATTTCCCTCATCTGTTGATGGAGAGGGTAGAAGTTGGTTGAGTTTAGTACCAAATACTTGAATTTTTCAACATTATTAATATACCTTACATAATTGGCTGAAAAACTATAAACATCTAATTAGAAAAATGATATTATTTTTATAGGTTTTATTAATAGGTAATATTAAAAATTTGATAATTAAATTAATTATTTATTATATTCAAATGCTTAATTACCAAGTTTTTGTCCTTATGTGACAAATTTATATATAAAAGTTTAAATCAATTAAAAAAAAAATGTTAAGCATTATTTTCATGATATATATTAAAAAGAAATATAGCATGTGATAAGGTGTGTTAAAGAAAATAATTTAGGCTTGAGACATAAAATAGTAAAAAATAACAACAAAGGATTTTAAATACTGCCTGATTATTCACTTTAATACAATGTAATTCAGTTTATATAGTATAAGATCTGCAAAGGATAAATTCTTATTACTTAAAAACCAGTAAAGTTCATAATTTCTGATATACACATGTCCACAATTTCTGATATACATATGTATACACGTTACATTACACATTACATACTTAATAATTAAGAATTATATATGAATATAACAAATTTCTAATAACTAACTAATTTTTTAAAATTACTTAAGTTTAAAATTACTTTAAGTATCCATTTTCCCAACTATTTCAAACCATTGGCGTAAAGCATCACTTAGAACACCTGGTAATGTGTTTATATCTCTAAGAATTATGTAAAATGGAAATGGGAAGCTATCCATGTATGATTGAAATCTTACTTTTGAACCTTCAAATATAGGTTTACGAATATCCAATATGGAATCCTGAAAAGATAAAAACCGAGCTTTTTAGTAATTGCTCTTTTTTTTTTAATGTATCTATAATTAATTTGAATGAATAATATATCGCAATGATAATAATATGATATCACTTTAAAATACGATTAAAAATTACCTTGTTAATTGGATTATCAACTGCTATAAACACCAGAAAAATATTTGCCAATTTAGCTCTCCTTATAGCATCGTTCACGGTTTTTATTCCTTCTGAAAATATTCCTCTACCATCCGATAATACTACTAGCAGCTTAGCATTATCAGATGAAGTACACTGATTTTCAAACATATTCACTACAGAATTAACTAATTGACCAATCATTGTTTTTCTTTGATCAAATCTCACTTCTTGTATTAATCTAAAAAATGAAAAGAATAAAATATTAAAAGATTTTCATATATTGAATAAAATAAAATTATCTTAATTAAATGAAATTAAAACAAAACTGAATAATGGCTATTGAAAGATTATTTATCACTAAACTATATTTTTAGTTTATAATTTATTGAATTAAAAATATTTATATTAAACATTTATGTAAAATGTTTATATTAAAATATAAATACCTAGATCCACTTTGTTCTGTGAAGGCTTCTCCCAAAGGATGCAACAGCTTTACCCGTTCTCCAAAGCTTACAACACCAAGTTGCCCTACTTCCAGATATGTCATAGCTTTGCTAATCAGTGATAAGGATTCGAAAGCCAATTCTTTGGAATGATTATCCGCCATGCTGCTGGAATCATCCAATGCAAGAATAATCTGATAATCACGTTTAAAAGGCTTTGTACGCCTGAGCCAGATTTTATCCTTGCGAAATTGGCTGGCTATATACGGAATGATCTTCCGCATATTGATGCGTTTGCCTGTCTTATAATCGCCCCTCAATCTCGACGCCTGCGTAGGCTCCAAAACCAGTCTCAGTTTCTCCGATAAATCCCGAGCAGCTACATCCGTGACTGAACACAAACAATTCCACGCGACTGCAGCTTCCTCCGTAGATGGTATTTGCGTCCATTCGGCTAACATGTTTTCTACTTCAAATCGTTTTTTTTCCATATAATTAGAATCAAGATAGTTCTCCTCCATATTCCATTCCATCGTATGAAATGTGGTCTCATTCCCTCTTTGTACCCTCATAGTCTCTATTATGTCTCCTTCTAACTCGATCATCGTCTCCTGATTGTTCTCAATATTATTTCTTTTACCTTCGGAATCCTTGCGTTTATCATTTGAAGTCTCAGAAATTTTTTCCGGTCTCTGCTCCTTTATTTTATTATCTGTCATGTTATTTTCCTCATCTTCATGCATTTCCACATCCATAACGTCATCTTTTTTCTCTTCCTGATTCTCTTTTTCTTTATCTATGTTAGAAGCTTGTTCCCTGACTTGATCTTCTGTCGCGGCATCGAGCGTGTAATCGTCGAATTTCTCAGAATCCTTTACGTGTTTGGCTAGTTCGGCTTTGTCTCCATCAGCGTTACTCGAATCATCCTCCTTCTCCTCCTTCGATACTTCATCCTGCGTGTACATTGTTTTCAACTTTTTCAGCCTCGGTTCGAGTTTGTTTAGCAAACTGCGATCTTCATTGCTCTTGCCTAGGTTCTTTCTTTTTTCAATTGATTTTGTCATGTTATTCCTCTGCGAAGCTGGAATAATTTCCTGCTTAGAAGACCCTGAATGCCCATTTTCCTGCTGCGACTCCGATTGACCGGTGCCATTATCATTGCTATCCTCTTGAGTATTTTCAGCTGACGTCTCCTGCTGATCGTTGGCCTTATTTGATTGTTGTGCCACTGTATCTCGCGAACCTTCCATCGTTTCTTCAACTTGCTGTGCAGCGTCCATTTGCTTGCTCGCATCATTTGCACTTGGCGCTGCCTTCTCCAGCTTTTCCTCTTCTGTTTCTTCATCCCGATTTTGTTCCTCATCTGTGTTTTCGGTTCCTGCATTTTCTTTATCATTCTCTTTAGCTTCCTGATTAGTTTCGAGCTCTTCCTGCGTTTTATCCAAGTCCATATTTTCGCAATTCTTGTCTTCGTCTTCGCTAGATTCCCCCTCATCGTTTTCTTCATTTTCTGCAGTTTCTTTCTCAAGTTCCATATCCATATTTTCTGGCAACAATTCAGAGTCCTTCATCTCATCGATGTCGAACGGATTCTCCTCTTCGCCATTATCTTCTTTATCCTCTTCGTCTAAATTTATATCTTCTGGTAAATCGAGTTGCTGAGGTTCGGGTTGAGGTTGGAATTTTCCATGATGAGGATTAATTTGATCTTCATCTATTTCTGGCTCGTTCAATTCATTTATTTCTTTTTCCTTTTCCTCTTCTCCTTTATCATTCGTATCGTTATCATCATACTGTTTTCTTTTATCTTCGTCGTCTTTTGCATCTATTTCCTTCTCACCGATTTGTTCACCCGTACCTTCCTCCTCATCTTCATTTTCTGATTGCTGATTATTCTCTTCGGATTCTTCTTTATCATCACCCCAGATTTGTTTATCAAGCTGCTCAGCACCTTCTCCTGTCTCTCCCATTTCCTTATCCAAGTCATTATTCTCATCATCATCACTTTGCTCTTCATCATCATCATCATCATCTTTCTCCATATCCTGTGGCTTACTGTCGAAATCCTCGGACATGTCAATTCCCTTTTCCTCTTCCTTACACATTTTATCGTTCTGTTTTTCTTGTTCTTGATCTGCGGGTCTTGCATCCTCAAGCTGGTCTTCAGATTCTATTTGATCGGAGACGTCTTTCGTTCCTTCACCATCAGCTAAGCCCATTCCACCTTTTCCCGTCTTCTCCCCCGATTCATCTGTTTCGGCTTCATCGAGATCTAAATCTTTTGGCACACAGAATCCATTTGCAGCCAAATCCAGGAAAACATTTAATTGCAGATATAGCATTTTACACGTGATGCGGAACGACGCTACTTGTTCATGTAAATAAAACTGGGTAAATAAGAGATATTGTTCCAGCAGTGGTAAACATTTCAGGAGCAATCTGAAAGAAATAAAGCATTTATCTATATTAATTTATTTCATAGAATTTGAAATTCGTGTTTCATATTTATAAAATTTTGATATTTAATTTATTAATTTTATTAATATTTTTTTCATTTATAAATATGGATCATATAGATTTTTTTCTAAAAATTTCTGAGAGAAACATTAAATTTTATATTAAATTCTTATATTAAATTTTAAGATCATGCTATTTAAAAAATATTGAATAATAAAACAATTCTTACCCGATACAGTAATTTGCTGATTGTAGATCGAATTTATGTATCAATAGTAGAAGATTGAAAAATGAATTAGATACTTTGGATAATTTCAATTCGGTTATATCCCGCTCGAGGAATTTAACAAGTTTTTCATTTAATCCATTATCTTCTATTTTTTCGTCTACATTTCTATCATTTTCATTATTCTCATTATTCTCATTATTTTCCTCATTTGATTTCTCATTTGAGCGTGTCACATCGTTATTCAAATTAATATAATCTTTATATTTCTTTTGTATAATAAGCAATATCATATTTATTAACTGTTCTAGAGCCAATTCATATTGCTCGACAGCGTTACTGCTTTCTTTTAGTTGCACTTCATCTTCTACAAATTGTCGTAAATTTTCATCATAGTCACGAAGGAAGCAGTCCATTTTCGTATCCAAGAACGCTATATTTTCACAGATAGGATGCACAACATCCGAATTCTCAAACAGTTGTTTCAGTTGTTTAGCTTGCAATCTTACGTTTTCGATTGTCGCGTAGCAATTCTCCAAGAATTCAAAGTGCTTCGAACTTAATAAAGCATGGATAGAATCTTCGGAATGATCTACTGGTAATATTTCAAACGGCATGAATAAGATATGAAAACGTTTCACGGTTGCTTTTATCGATTTTAAACTATCTTCCAGCAGAGTGTTCGCGCTTTTCCAAACTTGGTCAGTTTGAGAGATGGCAATTATAGGAAGCGCGTTCGCGTTTAATGTGAGCACGGCTCTATTCGAATCCGCCGGTGATTCTGTGGGACAGCATTGCAGAAACAGTAACAGCTGTTCGAATCCAGCTTCCAACGTTATCAACAATGTCTTTAAGCTCTTCACACAATCTTGGCCATTGTGTTGCTTCGATATATTCAGATCCTCCTTGCGCATCTCGGACAGATTTGAAATCTGTATACGTAACGATGAAAACTGATCGAACGACCGGGCTAACGTCATCTTCTGTCTATGAGCCATCAGCATCATGTGCGCGGAATATCCTCGGCAACGTTCCATATTTTGCAATCCCAAATCGGTTTGGCTTGTGCTGAGCATCGCGTTGAGAGCGTTTAATCTGATGAGAGACTTGTAATAATACTTCTCGCAGCCCTGCCATTGCCTCAACATGTGTTGATCTGTATTTTTTAATTTGAAATACCGATCGATTGTGGACAGATTCAAAGGTGACACCGTGTAGTCTATCACCTTGTCCGTGTTGTTCTTCAACGTTAATGCACCGGTACGATAGGACACACCCATTTGAGTCAATGCCTTGAAGTAATTGGCGAGCGTCATCCTCTTCTGCTGCAAGATACTCTTCGCCTGAGATTTTTGTTTGCCCTTTGGCAAGCTTCTATCGACGTTCATGTCCCGAAGACGTGCGCTCTGCTCCATGAAGCTCATCACAAAATTCTCAAGTTCTGATCGTATACCTGGATACGAGCTTGTCAGGATTATTTCTTTACATAGATTCTTGGCCGTTGTCAGCAACGTGTCTGCTCTTAGAATAAGTCCGCTTGTAAACAGCGTTTTCACCTCCATAAATTGCGAAGGTTTCTCTACGATAAAGTCTTCAAAATTGATCATATACTTGTGATGTTCTTGAACATCCCAGATGCCTTGTTGTTTGATCTCGGTATTATAAGATCCTGATTTAATAATCAAACAAGAAGATACACTCTGTTTCAACGCCTTCTGAAATTCCTTCACATACTTATGCAAGGTGCGATGCGTCTTATCGACCGTCTCTTTCACCATCCAATAATTGAGCTCGTTCCATCGCGCAATTTTAACGTAGTCTTCTAATTTTTTCTTGATGGGCGTTTTCAATGCGGCAATTCTCGCGTTTACGTCGTCCACGAACTGCTTGTAATAATTATATATATTCCACAATACAGCCGAGAGCTCGTTCTTGACATCACTGTCGTCAAAGTAATACACGTGACAATGGAATGTCAAGAGAAGATTCAATCGCGATTCAAATTCGACGAGAGATGACTCATTCATGAAACGCTCTACTGATTCCACCAACTTTTTCCTAGTGACAATCTCATCGTTCGCATTCATACGCTCGATGTCACTCTTTACGGTTTTCTTATTGTAACTTTCGATCAATGCATATAGGAAGAACCACCACTTTGACGTGTTTGATCTGAGATCTTCATACGTTGCATCGAGGCATCCCTTCCAGCAAGACAATTCCAGTTTTCTCCACGATATTATTTGCTGTGTCAATACAAGTATATAGTCTTTCATACTGACGCCACTATGCGCGTTGTCTTCCCATTGCTTCATCTTGACAAACAGCAGCTCGAGACCTGTCAAGAATCTGGAGATAGGCGATGTGATCGAGAATGTATAGATTCTCTCTATTATACATCGTATCGATTTTAGAACAGGATGCTCTGGCCATTCTTTCAGCAGCTGATTGACGCGATTTAGAATTGTCTCGCACAACGGCAGACATTCCTTTGCTTCCTTGATGTTGCATTCTTTATAAAAATCGTATGCTTTTGTTTGTCCACTGTTCTCACGTAAAATTCGAGCTGCGTTTTCCTCTTCACTCGCTTGCAGGCCCAAAGTAACTAGGAGGTTTAAGCTGTTGTATAGTTTAATTGTAAGGTCTTCGCTCAAACTCGGTAGTACATGATCGAGCATTCCATGTATAATATTATATCTCTGAATTAAAGGTCCGACATAATCCGTTGAGCATACCGAAGTAGAATTGTTGCATATCCATTTGGACGTGATGAAGGATGTAACAATGTTTGAATGGATCTCTTGAATCTCCTTGATGTCATCCTTAGTGATGAGACCGCTAAAGGTTGATTCCGATTCATTTGATTTGGGTGGCAATGCATTATTTTGATTGAAAGAAGACTGCGAGTCATTCTCTATGTCGTGAAAATCTCTTTCGCGATGCGTGGGAAATAGTTTGCGAACTTCCAAGGCGAGTTCTTGTTCTTCAGTCAATGTACTGCCGTAACTTTCAATCTTGTTCTTGTATAGACTGTCTCTTTCTGCGGCTCGTTTCTCTTCCTCCTGTTGCTGCTGCTTCCAAATCAAGACTATTTGCTGCAACAGCTCGTTCGCGTCTCGCCACAGTGCTTTAGTCAGGCCTTTGTTGAGAATTATATGATTTTGCAATTCATATAAACCTGACTTAAATATTTGAAATTGTTTTTGCATCTTGACGAACGCGTCCGAATTTTCAATCAGACCTCTCGTGCTTCTAGAAACGCACAAATCTCTCAGATTCAAAAGGCTTTCCTGTCCTTGACCAATCGTCGGAAACCGGATTAAATTGTATATTATAGTTTCGAGATTGACCATTCCATTTATATGCAAAGATATCCGTCGTCGAATTTCATTACTTAGTACATCGATGCCATGATTTAATTGTGCTAAGGCTGTCAGCAGTGGAAGAATCACATCTGGATAAACTGAGAAGTACTTTGCTTCAATTTGTTCAGTGAATCCTTGCAGCGACAAACTCCAAATTTTCGTTTCTTCTAAAACGGTGTTGAAAGTTAAAAAATTGGCTAATTCGCACTCTTGACTTGCGATCGCGCATAGATTACTCATGTGCTTTTTCACCATTTTGTAAGAACCTATTTGATTCCTGAAATTGGCGCAGTCCTTGCTGAGCGAAGCAAAACTGACGGATGGTGATCTGAATGCTTTCAAACTGCTAAGTTTATCTTTCATTTTCAGCAAATTTTTCTCGCAATTCTTCGTGGCTACGATTCTGGGATGAGCGTATTCATTTTCTGCTGATAATCCTAAAATACGATTCTGTAACGATGTAACATATATCGTTCTTTTGCAATCAACAACGTCCTCCTCTAGATACTTGAGCTTCAGTTCCACCTTGTACACGGGATCGATCAGATCCAAGTTTCCAAAAATTAGCAACTGAATATAACCGAGTAACATCCACGCTCTTCCTCGAAGAATTATATCTTCCTCTTCACCGATACTTGTCTCGTCGATGCTATTTATCTCATTGCACACTTTACGGAATTCTTCTATAGGTTGAAAATAATCGGTTTGCATCCTGTTTCTTATTTCAATCGCGTTACTTCCACCTTGCTTTTCTATAGCCTTCGCAATTAGATCGGGTACGTCATCCTCGGCGTTCATTCTATCGATTGCGGATAAGTACAAGCGTAAATAAAACTTCAATGTTATCAAGTCACTGTTAATTAAATCATATCGTTTGTTTGTTAACGAAATGCTATTTCGCCATAAAATCTCATTCAGCAGTTGCAACTGATCTATTTGCGCCGTATATGTTCCAAGCGCGACCGCAGAAAGTACATTCTTTCTTTCTTTTTCTCCATTTGTTTTATTTAACATTAATTGCAGCACCAGGTTTAAGAGAACGGCTCCACCAAAGTAGCTTTCCGTCTATAAATATACGTAAATAAAAATTAATGTAATATTTATCAATAACATTTTTTTCAATGAATGACTTAGAAGTTTAAAGAAAAAAATTTCAATGAAGATTAAATATATTTATGTATATGATTATTAATTTGAAATTAACTTGAAATTGTATTTAATTAATTAATATATTATTATATTATTTTAATTTTGAAAATATATTACAAGTTTTATATATATATATATATATATATATATATATATATATATATATAAGATTTATAATATTTACTTATTATAATATATATGTGCAAACACACATTAATGATTTAATATATCGGATCTTGAAAGATTCTTATATTACTTCTGACAGAAATAAATGATAAAATCAGAATAATTCGTTTTAGAGGAAGAGAATTTCTGACTTCTAAAGTTAAATATATAAGTCAAAATTCTTTTCTATACAAAAACAAGATACAAACCTTGGACTCGACATAGGAAGTTTGTGATCCCTCCATATCTTCTTCTGTTATTCCATGCCAATGTAAAAAGCGGTTCGTGTTCTTGACTGCGTAAGATTGCCGAGCGAATTGGGCGAGCTGATAGAACAGTTGCGGTAGCAACAAAATCTTCTGCGTATATTCGATCTCCGCTCGAGTTATCGCATTCAGCAAGCCGATCAAATTGCTTGGTATACTGGGCACATCTGCGAATCTTGCGAGGCATTCGATCAAGGTGGCAGCGGAAATCGTTCCTTCCTGACATATCTCTGCCTGCAGTCTACAGGCAAACAACATAAAGACATACTCATGAATCGGCCACAAGTGTATCTTTGCGTTCAACTGCGTTATTTCCTTCTCTGGAAGTGAACGCACTTTATTCAGAACATTCTCGATATCTGCGGAAACTCGTAGACGAATGTGGCTCTTCTCGCAGAATTGCTCCACTTCAACGATGCTCGTCATTTCGTCGATCGGTTTCCTCGAATAAACATCACTCCACAGAGAGATCATTTGATGTCTCATCGATAGCGCGTCCTTCAATTGTACAGATATAATTTTCAGTTCTTGTTTTTGGAGACCCGTACCTCCTTCGTTCTTTACATTGAAATCTTTCGTTAGTCTTCTTAACTCTGAGTGGACATTCATGCAGCTCTCCGAGGAGTGAGGCGGTGGAAGTATTAAGTATTTCTTAATTCTCTTCGATATCTTTTTGATAGGATCAAACACCGAATCTAGTTGATTGTTTACTTGAGATACTATCTCCCATAATTCGATCTCGCTTGCCGTCTTCTCATTCGGAAATTGTCCAGCTATTGTGAACAATTTGCGTAGAAATTTTAGCAGCCACTTATAGTGCACCTTTAACAACGAAGAGATCTGTTTCAGATTCGTAAATTTGCTTTTGGACTTTTTCAACTTGTTTATTAATGTCATTTCGCCCAGTGTCTCGAATCTCGTATACCATTTTAATTCCCTCCTCAGTTCAACATATTCTTCAGAATTCATGTTTATATCGCTGTCTCGTAAAATTGTCTCGATATAAGAATTCGCTCGTTCAACGAATTGCACGAAATATGTTATAAGCGGTTGGTTCTTCAATTGCGAGAATAGTTTACCTGTAAATATTATCTTGTTAATAACTTTGATTTTAAATATCGTGTCTTGGACTGAAAAGAATAAAAAATAAATAATCGAAAGAAGCATTTCTTAAAAAATATTAAAGATTTTAATTTTAAAAATAAAGAAAAATTCACACGGCACAGAATAAACAATCTAGAATATTTACCATCATGTACAATGCTGGAATATTGTTTGACAGATATCACGTTTTCATCCTGTAATATTTTCACTTCCCGTATGTCATTTTTGAGTATCGTACTGCGAGCATACAATAACAGTAACAATTTATTTGCGTCATTGCATGAAACGTCTTCATCTGCCATTCTGCCAACAAGCTGCCGCAAATCCCAAGGCAAACTTTTCACATTTGCAGAACGGAAGCGAAACAATGCAATTACATTCGCCATTAGCGCGTTCTGCTTCTCAAGTTCACTAAATATTGTGTTTTCTCGCAACATCCTCGAGATCCACTTCTTCCTGAGTGGTGCATCCTCTCGCGAGGATTGTTCGTAAAAATTCAACAGGAAATATGGTAATACCTCATTAACGTCAACGTTTAATATATATTCCTCATCCTCTTTAAAGCCGCAAAAGTCGTTTAATAATTTCGATGTAACAATATTTTTTTGAATATTTTCTGGAGTAGATTTCAGACCTAATTCGCACACGTTGACAGCCGCCTTCAACAGTAAGCTTTGCTGTCTGATTAGAGTGAGTCTCGAATTGTCTTGCAGATTTTTTACGCTCCACGTAGCGGCATCCAAATCGATCACCGAGATCTCTTCATTGTTCGAAATATGTCGGTCGATGGCTTCATCGATCAAAGAAATTAAATACTCCCTGGATCGCGAGTCGCGCATCGATCTAGCTTTTATATAGACGTCAATACACGCGTTTCTGATCGATTGCTCCGCGGAGAATCCGCGCAGGGATCGTTGCTTCGTCAGGAACGCGGTTTGCAACAAATCGACCATACTAAATCGGTCCACCGTGATCATTTCTTTCGACATCCTGTCGTAAATCTCGAGCAATGCATCGCAATTTGTCGATCTCAGGATACCGGCATTATACAGCAGCGACTTGAGATCGATCACATCATCATAGATGTTCTCTTTCGGACCAAACATGTAAATTTCGACTCCTCTATTACGCATAGCCCTAAAATCCAAGATGATAAATACATCAAAAATAATAAATATGTTATTATCATGATAGATTATTGTAGCTCCATCTCTCACAACGATTAATTGCGATTATCGTATTCTTTGAATATTATAACAAAGTCATCTTGCCAGCAACTTTTTTATTCTATTTGTGTTATATGTATATTGATAAATATGTTTATATAATAATATAATGTAGAGTTATGAATTGATATATTTTTGGAGTCGAATAACAACTGAATTTTAATTTTTATACACGATTAACTATAATGAAATCACATGATTAAAATATGATTATCATATGATTAAGTACCGAAAGAGAAATTACCTGGAAATTTCGCCGTATCGGGGATCCATAGTTAAAAATAGACGGAAATTTTCATGTGGCTTAATGGTGATGACATTGCCTTCGCTATCAACACCTCGCTCTCCGATACTGAGAACACCGTTTGGCTCTAACAGTCCATTAAGTCTGTCTAATACAGCGGGGCTGCATAAATTAACTTGGTCAATGAGCAACCAAGTGCCATCTTGCAAGCACTAAAAGATTATATTGTTATTATACTGTCTTAAAAAATGTTTTGTTAATCAAAAGACAAAATTCTACAATATCAATATATTTTCTTAAAATAGGCACAAAAAAGATATGTATATTTCAACATTTTCAATTTGTAATTAATATATTATTCTGTTTTTTTTTTCTTTTTAAGATAAATGTCCTTTTTTTATATTTTATTTTAGTTTCTTTCTAAAAGCGATTAAAACTTTAGAAAATACGAACTTTAGAAAATACGAAAAGAAAACAGACAATTAGAAGTTTATCTGAATAATATATGTATGCGTAATATATGTAGACACAAAGAATATGGATATAAATATGAATATAAGATATATTATCTAGATGTAGAAAGGTTGCATATAAGATATTAAAGTTTCACATTTCACAATTGCAGTAAAAATGAAGTAGCTTTACGCGTTAGAAAAGTTTTGGAAGTCGCAATTTTTGACTCTATTAAAACTTCAGCAACACTTATACATTATCGTATGTCAAGGATAAAATATTGAGAAAGCCAACGTGCGAAGTAAAGTTCAAAGTGGTGTGACTTTACCGCTACTCGCGATATATAAAATATGAGAAGCATTATAAAGGATACTTTTAGAAAACTATCATAAAAGTTGCCTAAATCATGTTCGGTGAATATCAAATATGACGAACATTCATTTTAAAACAATCTTGCCAAAATGTTTCCTACAAAATATTTGTATCTCACAAGTTCCGGTAATAGAAATATAACTCTTTCTATCTAAATCTACAAAAAAAAGTTTGTCGCTGATAGAATACCTTTACTAATACACTATCCACCCATTCGAATTTTCCACCGGCATTCAGACATCCCTCTTTCTCGACGGAAATTGACAGGTTTTCCAATCTTGACTCGATATCTTGTAACTCCAATTCGCGAGAAGATTCCCATAACTTAATCGCTGATACCAATTTCGACAATTTCTCGACTTTCTCTAAGAAATGGGTTCTTTCTGCTGCCATTGTTTTATCAGTAACATTTTCATCTGGCGATAAATGAATGGTGAATGATAAAATTAATCATTGTCTGTAATAAAGATTAGACTTTTCTTTCTAATCAGTCAAAAAGAAAATTTCATCCTGATAGTTAAATCCCTTTACTTACCGAATAAATGTCGCACTTGTTCCAAATGCTCATGAAGCTCGACAACTTGGTCCAATTTGTCAATGGCTATCTTCGTCTGCAGGCTATCCATAAGCAGAGTCGTTACGCGTTCAAATAGTTGCTCGAGATGTCGATTGTAATCCGTCTAAAAAATGATAAAAAATGTTTTCTTGCTTATCAGGTTCAAATTATAATAATAGAGAATATAAAAAGTTATTTTATTAATTTAAATTTATTTATATAACATTAAAAATTAAAAGAATGATTCTTTTCTAAAATAATACTTTGCTTAATAATAAAAAAATATAGAAACACATATAAATATTTTTTGAGAGATTAAGATATGCACGAAATAAGGCTCAATGTAATATATTTATATATGTTATTAAAATGTTTTTCCTCTTTTTATTTTCTGACCTAGGAAATTGAATTGCAATATCAACGAGCGGATCGTTGAAGATGTTGCAGTCTTGCTCGTCGAATAATTTGCGACCGAAGACGACGATAAAATATCGGCCAAAAAGATATTTACCGTGGTAAATAAGTCGGCATATCGACGAATAAAAATCAACCACCGAAAAAATTCTATATTGCCGCAGTGCGAGAATTTTATACGTTCGTATACATACAGATATACGTTCATCGCTATATATCACTATATTTGTGCCGCGAACGCAATCAAACAAATTTTCACGTGTCGTCCGTTTTCATGCATATGCACGCATGACACTCTTTTCAATCGCAACTTTCAAATTTTTTGTACGGGAATTTAAGAATATTAAAATTTAGTTAGAGTTGCGCAAATATTATGCAAGTGAAATGCATGGAATAATAATTATAAATATAATATAAATATAATAATTATAATTTAAATTATATATATGTTTATTATATAGTTATATATATTTATTATATATTTTATTATATATATAATTAAATCGACTGTGGTATAACATAATTGATTCGCGCAATAATGGTTAATTTTACGTTCCGAAAATTATGTAAATATGTTCAAAGACCAAACTATTGTTTAACGATATATTATGACAAATTATATGCAAAGTTAGCTCAATGTGGGATGTCAATTTAAAGAGGAAACTATAATTAGTTAGTTATAGGAAATACATACAGTATTTGCTAAATTGATTTATGAATGAACAGTAAGAGAGCATTCGAATTTCGAGGAGATTTCGATGTCAATGAAAGCTAGAATCGCGCAAAGTATACATAAATTAAAAGAACATGCTATAATCAGCATGGAAAATTAGGCGAATGATGGTACGTATTCGACGTAAAATATTCACAGACAAGATTGCAATAATATAGCATACATAGTGTTACATAATTAACAGCTTTAGTAGCTTACGAACTGAATACAGGTTTCGCTAGGAAGTTTGTAAAGCTTTTGCTTTGTGCACGATATAATATCTTGTAGGAACTTTATAGGATCGACTGCATTTGATTGAAAACTTTATCATATTGTAAATGAAAACTGAAAATTAAACTGGCATGTGTAAAACGAACTTGTAATCTTTTTAAAAATTATGTGACAAAATAAGAAATTATTTTTGTAAGATATACTGTAATTAATTAATTAATTTTTTATCAAACTATAAAATTTTTATCAAGAGATTATCGATTTTTTTCTCTTTCTTTCTCTCTTTAATTAATGCATGAAAAGTCATGGAAGATTAATAACAATCGTATGTTTACGCGCAAAATTTTAGAAGCAAATGTTTTCACATGAGATCAAAATTTAATATCCATTATTATTCTAGCCGACTTGATATCTCTTTTCTTTCAACGATGAAGCCGCTTTCGTATTTTAAGAAGGCGCATTAACTCTCCGACGCGTTCTCGCAGTCGAGGGGGAGATTCTCGAAGAATATCCGGCAGGATAATCTTCTGAGTGAATCGAAGGGTATCCAAAAATATCAAGCATTAAAGTGATTGATGTCGGTCTGATATGGATTTACGTACGGGTGATAATCTCTCAAAGTCGCCCATTTTTCACAAATCCGTCAAAAATTAACGTGATCTGATGGGACAGTTTGCCTCACCAGGCGAAATCGTCAGGTGAAATCGCTGCCGATGAAATTAGCAGCTTAATTTGCTTAAAGCAAATAAATTGATTGCAAGTAAATATTCGTCATGCTTGATTGCGAATAATCGATCACCAATCGTGTAATTATTCTCGATTAAGTTTAGAAATTTAATTACATTGAAGCTCGTTTTAAAATCAGAATTCGTCTCGAACATCCGTCATTTACTTATTCGTTATTTTTATTACGAATAACGAGAAACACAAGCATCACAACAGCTCACATCACAATGCATTTTAATTGGACATAATGTTGATTGGCATTGAATGTATGCATTTATACAAAATATTTATATTTTTGTTCAAAGTGCTAATAATATATTTTGAATGGAAGTTATAAAAATGTTTTTGCGAAGATATTCTGTACAGATGAATTTGCTATCGTGGTTCGCCCCCGTTATATTTTCTATGGAAAACGACATCGTCGAGCATGAAATTGCTAAATGTGTTTTCTGCGTGAGCAATATAGATTATGAGAAATAAATGCAATCTTCAAAGAAATCGGTCACTGAAGAAATATCTCACGATAATTTGCCTCGTGACCTTTTCAGCCCGCAAAATATATGTCTATTAACAGGAAAATATAACGACTGTTTTATTCGAATATTACATTTTGAAATATAAAGATAAGAATATTGACAAATGCACATGACAATCGCATTAAATATTTTTTAAAGGAAAAAGATATGAAGAAAAATATCCGATATAGAAATGACCCATCCTGCACACTTTGTACATTACACGCGCATTAAATATTTATTGCATTCGTATGCAGAAACCTCGAAACGACGCCATGAATTCATCTCTTGTTGGTTACGAAGCGAGAAAACTCAATATCGAGTTTCTGCGAGCGCGCTTTTCGGCGCGAGCTTCACTGCCGGCTTTCTTGTGTGGGAAATATCTCAAATTTTTTACAGAGAAATTCAAGATGGTGAAAAAAGCAAGTGACATTCCTCACCAAGTTGCAGCAAAAATTTTATATATGCGTATCGACAAAGAGAGCTACCAACAGACAAAAAATTGTGATGTAAAAATATACATTTTCTTTTAGTATTTTCGAGAGAATATAACTTTAACTCAATTGTTTCCAACATTTTTCAACAGTACAAACAGAAAAAAATTAATTTCTTATAAGTCGTATTTTTTAAATCTTAATATTATTAATTTTGCATCAAAATGTAACAAAAGATAATGACATCAGGGAATATTAATTGCTTTTAATATATATATTGATTGTTACAATTACATCATCTTTTCATTTAATTTTGGAAAAGTATTACTTATGTCATGATTTGTACAATAATTGAAATACATTGTAAGTATATTCATTATTACCAGCATGAATGGTCAATTACTGATATATCCATTCTACTTTCATTCGATTTTATATCTAAAAATCTGCGCTCTAAGATATAAAAAAATATGTATTTTGTTTCGAGCAATTTTATTGCATAATGAAAGATATCAAGATTGAACATTTTCGGCTTTTCAAATCTTTAGTCTCGTTTGCAATAAAATAAGGAGTGTGTGATTTTTTTTTTAAGAATAATACTCTTTCACGACAATTTTCTCGAAGGATTCCCGTATTCGGAACACGTAAAAATTCAAGGAGGAGTCAACTATGAAGTGCAAAGACGAAATTCGGAAGGTGACAGAGGAATGCAAATTCCACGATAACGGAGAAAGTAGAGAACCGTCTGGAATAAACTCTCACGCAGTCAGAAATTTTTGATTTCCTTTTAACGACTTCTTTATTGCGCGAGAGATATTACATTCGTGAACGCAATTGTGGTGCGACAAACGTTAACACATATGGAAAGAAAAAATTTAAGCTAGAAATAGAATGATTGTTGCTTGTTTTGTTTTCTTTTTGGAAAAATAAATATATTTTTAAATAACTCTAAATAACATAAAACACATTTTACTCTCTTCTATTACATTTAATTATTACATGCTTACAGATGTTATAATAATTTAAAGCAAATTAAAGCTATCATTTAGATTCTCTTTCTCTATTAACAATTTTAGATACTATATATTAGATACAAAATTATCGATAACATTTGCAAATTTAGCATCATTGAAAGAATAATTCAGATTCAATCGGAATAATATATAATTTTTATTTATTTAATAAATATATTTTATTACTTAGTAACATATTTCTAAACGTAATTCAATTCTGCTTTCATGATTTGACTATGATTGTAAAAGATTAAAATTATGAAATTAAGGAAATAGTACGAACTAAAAAATGTAATAATAAATAAAAAGACAATGTGAAAAATTATATATTTATTAATGAGAAATTCAAACAGATTTTCCGATAAAAAGTTAATGTAATATTCGGGCAAAATATATTAACTTCGCGAATTGATAGAAACGAGCTCATTAAATTGATTAAATTATTTCACCCGTATGTAAAAGTTCATTAGTCAGCAAAAAAAAATATTTGTTCAACCGATCTCTAATCTTCTATAGTATCATTGAATAACGCAGTCTATCCAATCAGTTTATCCAGTTTAGAGGAAAAATAGGAAGCACATTCGACTTTGCCCAATCCAACGCGGAAGTAAAACAGGACGTGACTTAACAAATCGATTGCTCAGAGTCACTACTAATGGAAAAAGATTCTGTTTTTGAAGAAAAGAAAAATACACACAAAACGCGATATCTCCACGATGGCGCCACGTATTTTAAACTATACGTATATATGTATAGTACATATATATGTATAGTATGTGTACGATTCGATTTCTATATTTTATTTGTATTTTGAATTTTTATTGTAATCAAAGTAACAGAGTGAATTTTATCTCTTAAATAGATATCTTTAGACAAAAATTTTAGAAAAATATTTAATAGTATTCTATAAATTAATATAATTTTTATTATAATAATTATATAAATATTATAATAAAATATAAATATCTGAAAAATCTTTTTATCGAATAAAAGTATTCTTATCGAAAACGTAATACAATTTTATATGTTTGTTTAATGTTAAGCTATCAGATAATTACATTTGAATTAAAAATAGTGGT